GGATAATGTGATTTTAAATAATCTTGGTTGTTAAAACATTGTGACAGTATAGAGCTGTAAAAGAATTTAATAAGTATGAGATTAAGTATTAGCGAATATGAAGACTAATAACGATCAACCTGAAATTGATTCGCTTGGAAGTGAAATTAATGAATTTTTAAACGCTAGTAGAATTCACATGTTCCGATAGTGTCTCTATTATATTTGCTGACCTAGTTCAAGCCTTATAAAAACAGATATTTTAAAAGGGAAAACAGTGACACGCACAAAGTAAAAAAATTGTTTTTTGGATGCATATGATGTCTCACTTGGACGGTTGAGTGTCGAAAACTTGTTGGCAGAATAAGACCATTAAAATCCTTGTCAAGCCCTGGAAATAAATTAAAATGTGTGATACCCTCAAGAAGACAGACTCAATTTACAATGATTTACCCAAAGGCTAGAAGATCACTTGCTTAAAGCTTTTCTGGGGTTATCTTTGCACGGAATGCAACAGCATAATCTTGAGGCCGAGCAACGTCAACTGATCAATTTAAGCGACCTTTTTTTGGAAATTCAAGATATTGAATCAGCAACGAGAGCAACAGGGTTCAAAGTGACTAGGTAGAAAAGCAATTAGCTTTTTTTATTAATATGAATAGTTTAAGTGGGTGGGTATAGCATAATAAAGATACCATTCATTTCCAACAATGAAAGGCTTTTCTGAGCGTGTAGAGACGTAGATAAAATGAGGCCCCCCCAAAACAGCTAAATATTGAAACTACCAGCGTAATAAAAGCACTTATTTTATTAATGGCACAACCACTAATGAATAGGCCTTGAGGCCCAAAGTTAATAATATTAATACCAGGTTTGTAAAATTACTAAAAGAAATCCACCAAATAGCTGATTTTCAATGGTTTGTCAGGCATAAATAAAAGAAGAAAATGAATTTGTGTCTAGTTCACTACTTCTTATTTGACTTGTGAATAAATAAAAAACATTCAGAGGGAAATTTTCGATATAGGTACGAAGGCTAAGTGAAAATTGCTGACATTGTGAAACATATCCATACGATTGTAGAAAAATCACCTTAAGCGATCTAGGATGACTAAATTCTTAGCTCTGGGGAAATTTAAAGAATAAGAATAGGGATTAGATATAGGCATATTATAAGTCTAGGTTTAAGAGTACAGTCCAAATATTTATACTAACGCATCGTTTGTACTCATAAGTAGAATGAAATGTTTAAGAAAATACATATCAATAATCGAATACGCCGATTTAACTGATTCTAATTAGTTAAAAATAAAATATGGCTACTACAGAGTAGTATAAATGAAATAACTATACATACTTTGTCGCACGCGTTAGGTTCACTAAATACCATAAAAAGGAAACAAAATACTATGTTCACAAACAGAAGCTTCGAAAAATATTATTCAAAACAAATGGTAGAGCCTAGATTAAGGAAATGTGCATGCCAGTTGTTGATGAACGATTGCAGGCTTATTGAGTAACAATGACATTAAAGACAATCTAAACCACAAAATAGTGCGAGTTGAGGTAAGCTTACGGCAACTAGATGGCAGTTCAGGTAAATAAAAGTAATAAAACATTAATAATGCGAAGATATGTTGCATTTATCGACGTGTACCAATGAAAATTACCTTTGCCATCTTTGCTCTTCACGCTAGTATAAGTCACACCCGCCTCTGCAGCTAATAAGGCTCTTGTGACGTCATCATCGACTTCAATGATAAATTCCGGATCATCATAAGATTCACGATCTCTTTGCTCTGCAGCTTCTCGGGCACGCTCAGCAAGCTCACGTGGATTTGCCATTTGTGGGGGAGCTGAAATTATTGTAGACTTTCTTATAACTGTCGGTCCATTTGAAGTGCCAGAATTATTTTGAATTGACTAAAAAAAGAGAAGATCATGTTCAGAATAGAAATTAAAACATTAAAGTAAAATATTTAACCTACCCCAATGTTAGAAGTGATCCCACTAAGAGAAACATTCGGCACAACAACTGTCTTTTGAGTAGCAGCAGACCCTGGGGGAGGGTGAAGAGCATTTATAAGTGAAATGGGATGGATAGCGAAGTGATGTGAGCTTTGATGAACAGAGGACATTCCGATTCCTGGTGGTTGTGGTGGCGGTGGAGGTGGAGGAAGAGGGGCCAAATTCGTAGATATCAGAGAGGCAGGGGAGGAGTGAGAAGAGAGTGAACTCTGATAATAAGTTCCCATATTCGAACTGGTCAGATGAGTAATGGGAGTTGATGCGACGCATACTCCAGGCGGAAACGGTTGAGGCACTGAGCAAGAAGAAAAGTATGAATCACGTAATGAGGAAACACTGCAGGATATGCAGATGAAAATAATAAAAAATCGCAATAACTGTTATGTAACTGCTAGTATTACCAGGAATAGGTATTATGATCTAGATGATAAGTAGCAAGATCACTGCACAAGCCCAAACTATTATACACTTATACGTAGTAATTAGCTGATGAAAGCTTGGCATATCACGCGAGATAGGCAGTTTTAGTTAGCTATTGTGGTGGCATGTGAAAGCAAATGACAAGTAAAAGTAATTAAGGACGATACCGAATAATTCAAATCTAACTCAATGTAAGCAGATGAAATATCCTAAATGAAAAAGTGGTTATTGTGTAAAGGAATAATCTGTGGAATGTGTAAATAAGTTACTAAGGTGGGTCTACCACGAACTCTCGCGAAATTCCAAATGCAGAGTGACCTGAGGATGGGAAGAAACCTTGTCCCGTCTTTGCTCGCTGAAATAAGGGAAGTCTTGCGGCCGGCAACGCCTATGCTGACAGGTACGCTAAATTCATATAAAATGTAGTTATTATCTTCAGAAAACATGGCAAGATCGATCCTGATGTGAAAAAAGAAGTCAACAATATTCAACCCTTTCATTTATGTAATAAATATTCACAACCTATCTCATATCAAATATGAAAAAAAACAGAACAATTACGACAATTTCTTGATAAATAAGGTAAGCAGCCCTAGTACTTTTTCGGAATAAGAAATATATGTTATTTAAATCAGTTTATGTGAAAAAGTCCAAATCAAGAATGCAACGCCTGCAAAGCGATGATAGGATAGTATTCCAATTCTTAAAATTAGGTTACTCTTGTGAATGAAGCATAGCTTGGGGGACTGGATAAATAACAAATTTAGCACTGCTGTGAACCGAGATATAAATACTTAAGCTAATTAATATGAATAATGTATATAAATCACTTATTTAAAAACACGGATACTGGGATCCGGAAATATCTTTAAGCACCATGTAATGGGTTTCCGTAGTATAGCCCAAATTTCAAGATTTGCGAAAAAATGCTGTCCAAAAGCTTATGACAAAACAGTAACGGTCGATAAGCAAAATACAGTGGGGCAATTAGGCAAAGAAATATGGGGGGATACTCACGAAGAATGGTATCTACGAGCAAAATATCTGGATAAAAGAAACAAGTTAGAGCTAAAAGCAAAAGTAAACTGCTAATATGTATTTTTATA